CGGCTTTTTCTGTTTATGTGGTGCTGAGGAATCGAACCCAGGGCCTCATGCTTGCAAGACATGCACTCTGCCGCTGAGCTACCTTCCCAGCCCTGGAATACATGTATTGTTCATTCTCAGCATGTTATAAACCTAGTTGGTTTCTGGCTAAGTTTCCCTAGAGACCTGAAGTGTTCCTGATAAAAATGAACTTCCTTTGATAATTATGTGCTGGCATATAACTTATTCCTTACTGCTCTGTCTGTCCATGGCTCCTAACTCCAAAAATGTGAACCTACCTAGAATTCAGTTTGTTCCAGTTTGATCATGCTCTTGTAGTTTCTCCATGAAACCAACATGGAGAAATTGAATGTTTTATTACTGTAGTGAGGAAAAAGGCACTCAACACAAAATTCACTCTTTGTTTTCTCTAGCAAAATTTTTGTTCAATTTGTCACTTTAGAAATTATGAGCACGAGCCGGGCGCTGGTGGCTCACGCCTTTAATCCTAGCTATTCAGGACGCTGAGATCTAAGGATCAAGGTTCAAAGCCAGCCCAGGCAGGAAAGTCCATGAGACTCTTATCTCCAATAAACCACTAGAAAACTGGAAGTGGCGCTGTGGCTCAAATGGTAGAGCGCTTGCCTTGAGCTGAAGAACACAAGGACAGCACCCAAACCTAGAGTTCAAGCCCCACGACCGACCAAAAAAAAATAAGAAAAGAAAATTTCATTAAAAGACTTTTGATTTCATATTATAGTATATATGAGAGATTAGAAACATTTAACTTCAACCTGAACCTTTTCACAGTGAAGGAGAGAGAAATAAGCCCTTAAAGTCCTTTGTTTTCTTTTTTTTTTTGGGTCCGGTCGTGGGGCCTGAACTCTGGGCCTGGGCGCTGTCCCTCAGCTCTTCAGCTCAAGGCTAGCGCTCTACCACTTGAGCCACAGCGCCACTTCCGGCTTTTTTTTTCTGCTTATGTGGTGCTGAGGAATGGAACCCAGAGCCTCATGCATGCAAGGCAAGCACTCTACCACTGAGCCAACTTCCCAGCCCTCCATGAGACTCTTATCTCCAATAAACCACTAGAAAACTGGAAGTGGCGCTGTGGCCCAAGCGGGAGAGTGCTCGACTTGAGCTGAAGAGTGCAGGGACAGCTTCCAGGCTCAGAGTTCAAGCCCCACAACCGACCAAAAAAGAAAGAAAAGAATTATGAGCATGGACTTAAAGCAACCTGTTTCGTATATGAGGGCTTTGTAGCTAGCTAGGAGTACACTTTTAAAACAATCCACTTTCATTTGCACTCACAGGATGAGTCATAGTTGCCAATGCCAGATACTTTAATCCAGACACAGTAACTCATAATGTAGTATCAGAGCCACCATTTTTCCTTTTGTCATATATATTAGCCCTGAGAACACTGTTTTAGTATTTGAGTTTCACATATCAGTTTCAGTTGGCATGGAGTTAATACCAACACTAGATCAGAGCCATTTTTTCCTACATAGAGACAAATGTTTGTTTCCAGAAAAGCACTTCAATGAACCTTTTATCCTAGAAATTACATGTCTGCTAGAAAGCAGTTTAAAAAATATAGTCATTAGGTGGGACTATAGCTCAATGGTAGAGCACATGCTTAGCATGTGTGAGTTCTAGGGTTCAATCCATAACACCAAGAGAAAAAAGACATTAGAACTATTGAACCTGACCTTAATTTTCTCCTCGGTACAATACAGTTTATCCTCAGTATTATTAATACCTGCCTCATAGAATTTTGCAGAGAATCATGGTGTGTGAACTATAAGCAGTTTACATAGAGGCTAGAATTAGCAAGTGTCCAATAGTAGTAATTGATGTCTAGAATAGATCTATATGGTAGATGATCAAAGAATATTTACTGAATGAATCAGCAAATCACATGAAACCTACTCTGCATCACATTGTTTTTTCACTGCCCCTAGACTAGTTAAGCGCACTACAGATAAAACCACCAGCTCTTTCTTCCCACATCATTGTATTCTGTCTCTGAACCTGTGGCTATTTACTTTCCTTTCACCCTTCATTAAAGGTTTGACAATAGTCAAACCTTTCACTGGGGCTGTTATTCTTACTTGCTGGCTGGAAAATGGAAGCTGTAGTTTCCCCTCTGGCTGACAATGGAAACCTGGAGAAAACCAACACTTTCTTCCTATGTTCCCTGTGAAGGGTTTCCTGAAAATAAAAGAATACTTGAATGCTAACGCTTCAGTAACTACATGGATCTCAGGTGCTGAGATGCATACAAAAACAAAAGCCACCTTGATCCAAGGAGATGAAACACATTTTTTTGGGGGGGGGGTCTGGGCGCTGTCCCTCAGCAATTCAGCTCAAGGCTAGCGCTCTACCACTTGAGCCACAGTGCCACTTCCGGCTTTTTTCTTTTTGCTTATGTGGTGCTGAGGAATGGAACCCAGGGCCTCATGCATGCAAGGCAAGCGCTCTACCACTGAGCCACCTTCCCAGCCCAGTCGCTTGTGAGTTTCTAATTAGTCTACACAGAGAAGTACAAGTAAATTACTAAGTAAGATTCATTACCTAATTAATAACCATTGAAGGGAGTATTTTTCCTAAATAAAAATTTTTGTGTCTCCTAAAGAAGAATTCCCCTGCCAGGCATTGGTGGCTCACACATGTAATCCTAACTACTCAGGAGGCTGAGATCTGAGGTTGTGGTTCAAAGCCAGCCCAGGCTTCCTGCCTGGGCTGCATAAGACTCTTATCTCCAATTAACCACCAGAAAACTGGAAGTGTTGCTGTGGCTCAAGTGGTAGAGCATTAGCCTGGAGCTGAAGAACTGAGGGACAGCACCCAGGCCCAGAGTTCAAACCCCACGACAAAAAAAAAAAAAAAATCCCCTGTGCCAGTCAGCATCCCTTAGATCTACTGTAGAAGCTAATGGTCATGCCACTTGACACTTACTTGGTTGTTCTTGTGATTGCTTTTTTTGTTTTTGTTTTTTGTCATGAGGCTTGAACTCAGGGCCTGGGTACTGTCCCTGAGCTCTTTGGCTGCCACTTTGAGCCACAATTCCACTTCTGGTTTTCTGGTAGTTAATTGGAAATAAAAGTCTCATAGCCTTTCCTGCCTGGGCTGGCTTTGAACCACAATCCTTAGATCTCAGCCTCCTGAGTAGCTAGGATTATAGGTGTGAGCCACCAGCACCGTACTTTCATGACTGTTTTTATTTCTAAATTGCTAAATCCTTTCCCCAGAAGCATGCAAATTTGTGTTCTGCCTACTTACCACATTACTAAACTCGGACTTAGTGCAGAGCTTTTGGAATAAAAGCCCAGAATTGTAAGTCAAGGAGAAACTGCTGCTAGGCTGAAAGCTCTGTTTTAGGCCTTCTCCCTCACTTCTTTTCCAATCTTACTGAGTGCAAATTTCTGTTAACTGTCCTGGACAAGTTGAGAATACATTCACACACTCACATTCCCAGTTGTGCTGGAACCAAGCAAGCCACTAAGAAAATGAAATTTCAGCCAGGCGCTGGTGGCTCACGCCTGTAATCCTAGCTACTCAGGAGGCTGAGATCTGAGGATCCCGGTTCAAAGCCAGCCCGGGCAGGAAAGTCCGTGAGACTCTTTTTTTTTGGGGGGGGGGAGGTCTGGTCGTGGGGCCTGAACTCTGGGCCTGGGCGCTGTCCCTCAGCTCTTCAGCTCAAGGCTAGCGCTCTACCACTTGAGTCACAGCGCCACTTCCGGCTTTTTCTGTTTATGTGGTGCTGAGGAATCGAACCCAGGGCCTCATGCTTGCAAGGCATGCACTCTACCGCTGAGCCACCTTCCCAGCCCCCGAAACACATTTTTGTTGTTGTTGTTGTTGTACATTAGTTGGTTCATTTCAGGAAGTTTGTTCCTCAGCAGAAATGAGTTCATGTATTTTTGTTCTCATCTATCCATTATTCAACCAGTTGATTTTATCATGGTTACTTCTGATAGACTTTAGGAAATTAAGGAAGAACATCCTGAGCATATCTTCAAAGGCATATGGATGAAAGAAGGGATTAAAGATTTATTTAGAAGATTTATTTGAAGTACTTGTCTGTAGTTCTAGATAGACACTTAGTTGGGACCATAATGCTAGTAATTTTAGGCACAGAAATTTTACCAGTTTGGTTGCCTTGACTTCATACCATCATTATGCCTCTTCTTGCCTCTGTTACCCCAATTGATGGAAGGTTGTAAATGGAATCGAGATTCTGCAGTTAAATTTGTAAAGTAGTGACTGACTGCCTTTGGAGAAAAGTCAAGAAAAGGAATACTTAAGAGAAGCAAATAATGCTTTCTAGAGCCTTGGGCTTACTGCCAAGAAAGAGCAGCTGCAGTCAGAAGCTGTTGGAGGCAGCAAACTGATTGGGCGGTGAATGACCCCACTACAGGGTACCTGCCTGTCTTCTACCTTTGAATGGTCTGTCCTTCCAACCAGCTAGTCTGGGGATCTGCTGCCCAGTTGGTGGCCTGACTTATTTCTCCTTGTGACCACCAGGGGATCAAGTATTTGCTGGGCTAGAAGAGCAAGCCCGCCAGGCGATGATGAAAACTGATTTTCCTGGAGACCTTGGCAGTCAGCGACAAGCTATCCAACAACTAAGAGATCAGGACTCCAGTAGCAGTGAGTTCTGCACCTTCTGGTAATGACTCAGGGCAATGGGAGAAGAATTATCATAGTGTGTGTGCTCTGGGGATTGAATATGGGTGTTGGGAGGAAGATTTTTAAAAAAGAGATACGTAGACCTCCATGTCTGTAATTGTTTCCTAAGGTGTGTGGGCATATGTGCTCATTCAGAGAGTGAATAGGTTTGACACTGTGTTTTTACAACTCATCAATTACAGTACTTGACTTAATACCTTATACAGATAGGTCTGTGATAGTTGTGATTGAGGACATCCCAAAACCCAGGAAGAATTAGTGCCTAAGTAATCCTTAGGTCAGGTTCTTTTTTTTTTTTATCCTTGTCTGCTAGGATCTATTTGTAATAAAATATAAATGTGGCATTGATAAATTTTTACACATGGCATAGTTTTAGTGGCATCAAAGTTTAGTGATAAGTTTATGCAGCATTTTGTAAGATACTAAAGTCACCTCAAACCCTCAGTAGAGCTCTCTAGTTGGAAGATAGAAAAGATTGGCTCTTACTAGGTGAGCCTCATAAATTGCCTGTTCCTTGATCTGTCTAAACAATTTGAGATGTCTTATGTCCTAGAAAGATTTCCACACTTCCTTAACCTTACACGTTTGATATTGGTTCTTATTATCAATTTAGAGTATATTTCTAGTTGAAAGATTGGGAGAAACCAAAGAGGGAAAGAAAATTCTATAACACTCAAGGTAGAAAGGGGCTGGGAATGTGGCTTGGTAGTAGAGTGTTTGCCTAGCATGCATGAACCCCTGGATTTGATACCTCAGTACCACATAAACAGAAAAAGCCAGAAGTGTGCTGTGGCTCAAGTAGTAGAGTGCTAGCCTTGAACTAAAGAAGCTCAGGGACAGTGCCCAGGCCCTGAGTTCCAGCCCCAGGACTGGCCAAAAAAAAAAAAAAAAAAGGTAGAACGCTAAACACTGGTGGCTCAAGCTAGTAATAGTAGCTACTTGGGAAGCCGTAGCTGCGCACAGTGGCATGTGCCTATTCCAAGCACATGGGAAGCTGAGAAGGATCACCATTCTAAAGTAGCCTGAGCAGAAAGGTTCTAACACACTATCTCTAAGGAGGGATGCTGGACATGGGGGCACATGTTTGTCATCTCAGCAACTATAGGAAAGTAGGAGGAACTAGGAAAGTCCAGGAACACTGCCAGGTAGAAAGCAGGACCCTATCCTATAAATAACTTGTAAAAACAAGGCTGGAGGCATGGTTCAGAGTTCTGAACTTTACAGTTTTCCCCACAGTAATAATTAAGCAACAACTACAAGAACTAATTTAGCAACTAATCGCCTAGGTGCTGAAAAATGAGCCCCAAAATTTCTTGAAAACTTAATGGGACCCATCAGTTTCCTGAATAACAGGTAACAAAAGCAACATTTATAACTGTTTAATAGGTTTCCATTCTGGAAAAAATGCATCATCACTCTAGACAGTATACCTTAAAAATACAAATATTCCTGGCAGAGTGATAAATTACAAAAAAAAAACAGTTGATAAGTTGCTTTACACTAAACTTACAAGTATTACATATGAGAAATAGGAGGCAGGTGAGAAAATATGGTATGATTCATTCTGTGAAATTTTCTCATTCTGAGAAAATATGGTATGATTCATTATTAAGATGATTCAAGAGAAAGGAAGCTTTGGGCTGGGACTAAGGCAGTATGCTACATATCTTTCCATGACCCAAATCCAGTCCACCAAGGGAATGGTATCTAATACTACCATGTAACTACTAGAATATGACTTGCGGAAGTGGCACTGTGGCTCAAGTGGTAGAGAGCTTGCCTTGAGCTGAAGTTTGCAGGGACAGTGCCCAAGCCCAGAGTTCAAGCCCCACGACTGACCAAAAAAAAATAGAATATGACTTGGTTAGAATTTGTCAAGAAAGGGATATAACCAGTTTTTCCTGGAAAGAAAGGAAGCCCATATTGTCTAACCATTGGTGGATTTAAAAATTATGCAAAGGATAGTAGAAAAAAAAAAAAAAGAGAAGCATCACTGTTAGGAAATACAAATCTCACTGCAGAGTCAGAGAATCTGGTCAGGCTCTGCCATGTATTTCTCTCTGCTGACATCAGGCCCAGGAGTCCAGGATCTGGGTAGAGTTGGAATACAGCTGAAGTCTGACAGTTTCCCTAGGTTTGGTTTCCTCTTGAGATCTTCAGAGTGTTGTTTCCAGAAAGAACTTAATTTGTTATTGTGGGTTTTTTTCCCTTCTGTTTCATAAGTAATATGGGGGTGGGGGGACAGGGAAATAGCTTACCCAGATCTTGCAGATTCCCCATTCATAAGTAGGCTTCTTGCCCCACCACACAAATCAAAACAAACTCAGTTCTTATGTAAAATAACAAGAAATGGTATTCCATCCTAAAGAAAAGAATGGTACATTTCTTCCATTTATACATTTAGTTATCCATCAGATACTTCAAAGAATTAGTGTAAACAGTGAGTTGTTTCAGTTTAGAATTCTTAGTAACTAGTAGAATGAGAACAGAGTAGGTACTCCAGATGCTAAGCTAAGGCAGGAGGCTTGGATGTTTGAGGGTAGCCTAAGCTATATGGTGAGACCTTGTCTGAAACACATATTTCTTTTAAAGTGAGTTGGATACTCCTGAAAACTGTTTGAGGCTGGTTGCTCTGCCAATTTCTCACTGTAATGAACAGCCTTGTCTGTATAAATGATACCATTTTTAACTAATTTACTACTGCCTCCTTATAAAAGCTTAGAAGAAAAACTTGCTAGTGTTCCTCTAAGTATACTTGGGATTTGTTGGGAGAGAAAAGCTTACTGGGGCTCAGTGTGGAATAGTTTATGCTACCATGGGAAAAGTTGGTCAAGGGATTTTATTAGGAAAAAAAAACTAAGTAATAAAATGTTGGTAAGGTCAAGAGGTGGTGTGTTATTGAAATGAGCTGGGTGTGAGATGCTTTGGGGGAGGTGTGATTTGAACTGAGATACTTGAGAGCTGTGCATAGAATTGTTTTCATGATAATAGAGATGGCCCAATGTCCATTTTCCTATGCAGCTGTGCTTCATTTTCTCTTTAGTGTATATATGGCATAATAAGTAACAGTGATAGCTGGTTTCTATTTAATTGTACCCAATTAAGCCTTGATACAGACTATTACTATGAAACATCTGCTTCCCATTACAGCTGCAGACAGAAGGATAGACAGTTCAGGATCTCTTCCTACAAAAATCAGAACAAATAACCAGTTTATGTGTTCCAGGTGACAGTGAGGGTGATGAAGAGGAAACCACACAAGATGAAGACTCTTCCCACACATCAGAGGAAGATGGTGGGGTGATCAAAGTGGAAAAAGACTTAGAAAATGCAGAACAGCCTGGTGGTGGTGGGAATGAAGTAGTAGAGCATGAGGCAAGTGACAAATGGCTCCGGAACCTGGGAGTGCTTTATCCCTCTGTGCGCATGCTCCTCACCCACATGTCACAGTCTCGCCACTGACAGTCTCCTGGGCTATCATACAAAGCCTCTTCCTTCACAGCACCAGAACCCATAGCTCACACACACAGTTCTTTTCACACAGCGTTCCTTGTCTTCCTTTTCTACTCCCACATCCCTGCCCTCCTGTACAGCACTCTTTCCTAACACTCCCACTTCTTTCTAGACATAACAGTCCCTTTTCAAAAACTTCCCTACTCAGGTGTACCCTGGAATATGCTTGAAAATTGTAAGTCAAAGGGTTACCACCTCACTAATTTGATTCCTGAGGATTCTTGCAAGAAGCATGGTAGGAGAGAAACTAATCCTTGCCCTGCAGTTTACATGGGGATAATATCAGCTCTTGCTGGAGCAATAGGTAGCCTCCTGGAGGCTATAGGTAGCCTCCTGGTAGAAGCCCTGAAGACATGAAGATGTGATGAAATTTAAATCTCTTTCAAATAGTGCTTTTTCCTTTGTCCCACAAGAGGAATCTGAGAATAACATAACATTAAGTTACGCATCCTGTTAGAAGAGGTGAGGAATGGAAAAAATTGTGGAGTCTTTATGACTTGCCTATTTGTTGATTTGTAGATCACAGAGAGCTTAAGTTCTGACCCATTGCTTGAACTCTGCCAGTGTCCACTCTGCCAGCTAGACTGTGGGAGTCGGGAGCAACTGATCGCTCACGTGTACCAGGTATGGCACGGGGACCTGGGATTTTTGGACCTTAGGCTCTGGCAGCTTGCTTATAACCCATATCCTGCACTGGTTTTTGTCTCTGGGTCCTGAAGGAATCTTGGGACATTGTTTCCATTAGGACTCCATTCCAAATCCCAGAACATGGTAGCGGATAAGTGGATATGTAGGGTAAATAGGTTCTAGGTACCCAGGCAGACGTACTGTGAAAATTAAGTATCATTTTTTTCTAAATTATTTAATGCATACATTTATAGTGAAATAGGAACTGGACTGGTATCTATTAATAATGAGGGCTTTTAAAGAAAAAACATTCACAAGACTCCATTTCAACCAATGGTTAGGCATGGTGGTCTATGCGTGTCATCCAAAACTATGGGGGAAGCACAAATAGGAGAATCACAATCCAGCATAGCCCAGGCTTAGTGAGACCCTTATCTTGAAAGGAGGAGCTCATAAGTTGGCTTATGTAATAAAATACTTCTAGTAAGCCGAAGTCCCTGAGTTTAAACTCTAGTATTGCCTAAAATAAATAAAATAGTTGGCTCATGACCAGTATTCCTGTGGAAGACCCTACTTAAAAATTTGAGGTTAGACAAAACATATATTACTTGTTGCATACCAGCATTCCCAGCCAGCTCCCACATTTGACCTTCATTGCTCTCTGAAAATGCACTTGTACCAACACAGTTTTAGCCAAGAGAGGGAGAGAGAAAGAGAAACCATTCTAGGGGCTGGGAATGTGGCTTAGTGGTAGAGTGCTTGCCTGGGTTTGATTCCTCAGTATCACATAAACAAAAAAGCCAGAAGTGGTGCTGAGGCTCAAGTGGTAGAGTGCTAGCCTTGAACAAAAGCTCAAGGACAGTGCCCAGGCCCTGAGTTCAAGCTCCACAACTGACCAAAAACTAACAAACACACAAAACCCATTCTAATCATGAAGTCCTCTCAAGGCTCTGAAGCAGCTCCTGAGCCCCACTGTTTCTCTCTCCCCGCCCCAGCCCCTCTCCTCCCCCGGTCCTGGGGCTTGAACTCAGGGCCTGGGCACTGTCCCTGAGTTGCTTTTGCTCAAGGCTAGCACTCTTCTACTTAAGCAGCCACACCACCACTTCTGGCTTTTTCTGTTTATGTGGTACTGAGGAATTGAACTCAGGGCTTCATGCATGCTAGGAAAACACTCTACTGCTAAGCCATATTCCCAGCTCCCTCAGTTTCTTAAGCCAGCCACATGTCCCAAAATATGGTCAGAACACATGCTTAAAAATCTGAGCAATAGGTCCCATGGTTTCCCTTATTTGCAATAACTAGTATATGTCTGAGACAACAGAAACTGTCAGACAAGTTGATGTTAGGCGAAATGAACCCCAAGATCAGGATTCAAATGTTTTATTCTTTCTTGCGATTGTTTCCAACATATTTATAAGATGATTTCTTTGTTGCTTTGTATGTACCTCCCCCAGGGTATAAGCCCTGCTTTTGCTGTATTTGATGCTGCTATAATTTGTAGAGGGGAAGGGAAAAAACAAACTGTTTAAATAGGGTTACAGGTGGACCCATTACAACAATGAGATGTACAAGATGCTATGTCGGAAAAAAAAGAAGATCTGAGCAATGGTGTGAATGGCCCTTCTGAAGGTCCACTAACACAACAGGCCTTGACTTTTCCAGAAGCGAGACAGAGAAGAGCTGCAAGTCCATTGTTCTGAGACTAAGGAAAACTGATGTTTCCAGGAAGTAGTAAAGAGGGTGCAGATGTCCTGGAGGTAGGACAAGATTGACAGACTAAAGCTCTGTTTTACAGCACACTGCAGCAGTGGTGAGCGCCAAGAGCTACATGTGTCCTGTCTGTGGACGGGCCCTCAGCTCCCCAGGGTCACTGGGCCGCCACCTCCTGATCCACTCAGAGGACCAACGATCTAATTGTGCAGTGTGTGGAGCCCGTTTCACCAGCCATGCCACTTTCAACAGGTTAGCTGCACACCCTGTTGTACTGGGAGCAAGTTTCTGGGTGTGGGTTCCACTTTCCCAAGTCAAAGGGAAGTCTAGAGATACAGGTGATGCAAGGGCAACTGACACATGACCACTTGGAAATTCAAGTAATGCGACTAGGATGGCAAGAAGCATCTGTTAGATATCCCTAAGGGGAACATTCCCTTCTCTTTCCTCATCAGAATATTTTCAACTAGGAACAGATGTAAGAAATTGCAAGAGGGCTGAGAAGGCGGCTCAGTGGTAGAGCGCTTGCCTTGCATGTATGAGGCCCTGGGTTCGATTCCTCAGCACCACATAAGCAAAAAGAAAAAAGCCAGAAGTGGCGCTGTGGCTCAAGTGGTAGAGCTCTAGCCTTGAGCTGAAGAGCTGAGGGACAGCGCCCAGGCCCAGAGTTCAGGCCCCACGACCGGACCCAAAAAAAAAAAAAGAAATTGCAAGAACATTTATGATAAAATTACAATGTACTGAAAAGACCCTGATATGAAGACATCATCTCTAGTATTTCCTAGGAAACTAGGACTCCAGACAGCGTCCTCATCCTATTAGCCTAGCACATGATGCAGAGGCTGCCTTTCATTGCAGGCAGTGCCAGGTGGGGGAAGGTGAGGTAGTGGACTGTACCATTCGAAGGAAGTCCCCACAGCCAGGCCCCTTCATTCACACAGTAGCCTGGCCCTAGACAGGTCTTCCCTTGTATCAAAACCAACCCCTAATACTGAACTTGGCCTAATAGGAAAAGAATAAAGAAAGGCGTAAGTCAGGACCTGACACTTGCTACATAGAAACATTAACAATCTTAATATTTTTGCTTCCCAGTGAGAAACTTCCTGAAGTACTTAATATGGAATCCCTACCCCCAGTCCACAGCGAGGGTCCCTCCAGTGCTGAGGGGAAGGACATTGCCTTTAGCCCTGCAGTGTACCCTGCTGGAATTCTGCTTGTGTGCAACAACTGTGCTGCCTACCGTAAGCTACTGGAAGCCCAGACCCCTAGTGTACGCAAGTGGGCCCTACGTCGACAGAATGAGCCTTTGGAGGTGCGGCTGCAGCGGCTAGAACGAGAGCGCACAGCCAAGAAGAGTCGGCGCGACAATGAAACCCCTGAAGAGCGAGAGGTGAGGCGCATGAGGGACCGTGAAGCCAAGCGCCTTCAGCGAATGCAGGAGACAGATGAGCAGCGGGCTCGCCGGCTGCAACGAGATCGGGAAGCCATGAGGCTGAAGCGGGCCAATGAAACCCCAGAGAAGCGGCAGGCCCGGCTCATTCGAGAGCGAGAAGCCAAGCGGCTCAAAAGGAGGCTGGAAAAAATGGACATGATGTTGAGAGCTCAGTTTGGCCAGGACCCTTCAGCCATGGCAGCCTTAGCTGCTGAAATGAACTTCTTCCAGCTACCTGTGAATGGGGTAGAATTGGACAGCCAGCTTCTGGGCAAGATGGCCTTTGAAGAGCAGAACAGCAGCTCTCTCCACTAGACCACACCCTCCTGCCTGCCCTCCCATCTGCCCAAGCCCACAGGGATTGGTCCTGCATCCACCCATGAGGCGATGCTTGCTGCCAGAGGCAGGCCTGGGTTGGCTGCAGGTAGACTTGTACCCCTTGCATGTGGGAGCAAGATGATGGGGCCAGGAGGAACCCAGCTCAAGGCAGCTCTGGACAAGGGAGCAGGCACTCCAGAGAACTAGACTCCCAGCCAACTGGAGCAGGCCAGGTTGTGGGACTGTAGGGCCCCAGCACAGCCTGTGAAGTTGTGTGGGCAAATAAATTAAGTTCATCTTTACTTGCCTTTGGCTACTTGTGTCTCGGTTTCATTCTAGTGAATGAAGTGACTAGAGAATGAAGTGAGAGAGGAGAGAGCTGGATGGGAGATTTCAGACTGTGGTAGTAATGGCCATTTCTGAGGCAGGGCCCCCCTCATCTTAGGCTACTCAAGCAGAGGTTTACAAGTTGATAAGGAATAACTATAACTCTGAAGAACTGATGCTGACTATGTGAGAATTCATTCCTATGCTCAAATGAAGGTATCTATGGTCCAAAGGGCTATTTAAATTTACCTTTTCCAGATTCAGAGGTAATATAGGCTTTCCTCACAACTGATATTTTCCAAAACATTGTAGAGTACTTAAAACTAATTACATGCTACTTTTCCCAGTAAAATTCAGTTCACTGGTCACTTAGAATTCTACAACAGTCATCAACATCTAGGGATACTTTCATAAAATGGGCTACAATATTAAGGTCTGCTGGGAGCCGGTGGCTCATGCCTGTAATCCTAGCTACTCAGGAGGCTGATATCTGAGGATCCTGGTTCAAAGCCAGCCCAGGCAGTAAAGTCTGAGCGACTTGATCTCCAATAAACCACAAAATCAGAAGTGGTGCTGTGACTCAAGTGTTAGCTACCCTTGAGTTGAAGAGCTGAGGGACAGCATCAGGCCCAGAGTTCAAGCCCCACAACCCAAAATTAAAAGCCAGAATACAAATTAGATAGATAGATAGATAGATAGAGATAGATCCCTAGCACATGGAGCTAATGTTTGATAGAAGTGTCCATTGTTTTACTTTACTTCAGAGCCAAGGTAGTATTCTAAAATCCCTAGAGGAAAACAGAATTAAGGCAATAGAAGAGTTCAAGTCCACAGTAGCAAAGGCAATGACCACTCTGGCAGTTTGTATAGCTGCCAAGCCATGGAGGAGACAAACACTGAGGTCACTTCTAGAAGTTTCTGTAATAGTTCAGAATAAACATAGAAATTTCCTTAGCCTGCACCAAAGGTTATGTACAGTTTAGATAATTATAGATCTTGAGGTCCAGAAGGAAGTGCCCTAGTTAAATTGTAGCCAGAAAAATAACTATGCCAGGAATGTGGACCTCTTCCAATATCTTAAGAGGGAAACTTGGACTCCTCTCTGACCTCCATCCAAGGCTGTTTAGTCTCAACTCCCACCAAAACTAGAGTTAATTCCTGCCTGATAATTTTATTCTAAAAATTACACTTAAAAGGAATTGTACAATTGATCTAAATGCCTTTCTCACAGAGCTCCATGTGGAAGTTTTACTTGGGGTGCTTCAAAATAGTTGGGCATTCACTGTGTACCAAAGATTATATTCCTGTTTTGCAGATTATCTATTTAATTTTCCAACAGTGTGAGTTAATACAAATCAGGAGTTAGATGCCTGGGTTCAAAACTGCCCTGCTGGGCTGATGATATAGCTTAGTATTTGTGTATGAAGCCCTGGATTCAGACTTCAGCAATATAAAACAAACCTGCTGCCCTGCCATTTACTGGGCAAGTTACTTTTGATTTCTCCATCAATAAAATGGGTATAATGCTTCTTTTTGGGGGGTGGGGTGGGCAGTACTTGAGATTGAACTCAGAGCCTAACATTTGCTAAGCAATCACTACAGCCAAGTTCCTAGTCCCTTTGGCTTTAGTTGGTTTTGAGTAATCACGTTTTTTTTTTGTTTTTGTTTTGTTTTTCTCCTCAGGCTGGCCAGAACCATGATCCTATTTATGCCTCTTTTGTAGTTGGGATGAAAGGCATGAACCACTATACCCAGCTTATTGGTTGAGATGGGATCTTTTTTTTTTTTAAGTATTAAGTAGTTGTACAAAAGGGTTTCAATTCCAGAAGTCATAAGTATAATGCATTATGATCAATATCACCCCTTCCCCATAGTTCTCCCTCAAGGCAGGATATGTATCCTTTTGCCTGAGCGAAGTGCAATTTTCTAGATCTCTATTTCCCAAGTAGTTAGGCTTACAGGCTTGACACATTGTACCTGGCTAACACATGATTGCTATATATATATATATATATATATATATATATATATATATATACACACACACACACACACATATATATGTATATTAATATATATTAATTATATAATAATGTATATATACATATATATGGCACTTAGGATACTTTCTGATATGTAATAAGCACTCATTCAGTAAAATTTAAGGGAGTCACTGTCATGTGTGTTTCATCACTTACTGGTAGCAAGCTTTGTAAAACAGAAACAGTAGCTATGTTTAGAGCTGACTTATTCTAGAAATTTCTGGCAATATTCCAGAGTAAAGAATCTGGAGGGAAAAAAATACAGCAGTGAGAACACCTACAGGTCCTTGCGATGGATTCTACTGATATCTACGTCTACAGGTAAACACTCAGGTCTCTAAAGAGCAACAGACTGCAGGACATGCTTCATTCTGCTCCTGCCATCTGCTCTAGATCATCACCGAAAGGCAGCTTCCATTTGCATTCCCTCCCACCCCCACCCGGCCACATCCCCCCCACATTCAATAGCCACCATCAAGCTGAGATAGGAACAAAGCGCAAACACCAAAAGGAAAAGCTAGTAGTTTATATAGATAGATATATAGATATATAGATATTGATATATATTGTGTTTACATAGTCCACAAGTTAAATGCAGGTATCCATAAGAAGAGCATTAACAATAAAAATACAATCTGTGTGTAGCCAAGTACAGAGACTTAAAATGGTAAAACAGCAAAAAGGATCTCACAAAAGTACAAATATACAGTACAAATTGATTTATTTAAAACAGTTACAAAAAAGCACAACAAAATAGAGATTATCCTTAGAATTATTAATGCTTTGTTAAAGATCAGGTAGGATTAGAGGGTAAGAAATGGTATTGGGTGGGGGGAGCACCTGACTAGTTCTAAGGCTTTAGATACAATGCAGTTGATTACATATTAGTTCAGCCATTACATACTGGGGATAGTAGTGGGGGGATCAGTAATTTATCTACAGGGAACTCCTACGCAAATAAGATCCATTCAGACTTCCCCAGTGCCACTCTCCTTAGGACCCTAAAGCCACCTGGATGACAAAATTCCCATTCTTTTCTCTCCACCCCATTCCCTATCCATACATTCTTCCCTCCCCTAAGGTGCTGTGCAAGCTAAGAGCAGTCTGCTCTCTGTAGCTGGAACATATACTGTTTTGACTACAGGGATCCTGTGTGACTTAGGACAGTTTATTGTTGTTGTTGTTGTTTTTTAATACTTCCAAGTTAGCCATGAGTACAGTCAGTCTCTTCCCCAACAATCTAGAGTCTGTTGAAATCCAAGTATGAAGCAAGCAAGGGATCAACTCTGCCATTAACAATACTAGCAGCTCATTAACCCTTTCAGCTCACAACCATATGCAAATTCCCTGTCCAAGGGGTGGGTGTAAACCACTGTGTCAACAGTTCTCTCTGTCTCTCTCTCTCTCTCTAAAGAACCTAAGTCCTCATGACAGTCATAAAGACAAAATAAACGCTTGCAAGTTGGACAATATGTAAAGGCACATGGGCTGCTGCCACCCACACTGCAGACAGGAACCCAGTTGGGGCCATCTTCACTGCTGGGCCTTGCAGTGGAATGGCTTTGGGATCACACAGACTTTGAGTTTGTAATCTACTGGGAGAAGATCTAGGCTTAACAGGAGTACTAATAAAGAAAACTTTAGTGTGAAAAGTGCATTTATTACTACTGTTCCTGCTGAGGAGGGTCAGCAGGGCAAACCCACCGCCTCTCCACCTCCTGCCCCAGGCACTGTGCATAGTCTGCAGGTATGGAGAGTGCAGCCAACTCTAGCACAGAGGGTCAGTGTCATCCTAGGCCCAGACCAGGTTTCTGGTCCAAAGATGGTTCCTAGAGTTGAAAGAGCAACTGATAACTACAAAGACCCAGATGCTAATTTTATTATTGCATATTGTGGGAGATCATTCCTACTCCAGGGAAACTAGAGGGTGAAGCTTTTCCAGCCAAGGGCTCACAGGTTCCTGATCAACAACCAACCTAGCAGGGTTCAACTCTTCAACTGTAGTGTACTTTTTCCCACCTGGAAAGTATTGTAGCTTCAGTGTGATTTAGTGAACTTATCCCTAGGAGGTCAAACATCTCTAAAACTTGGCCTCTGCTTCTCAGACCATGGTCTAATCTCCCAGTCAATTCAGTTAATCTTGTTATCAGTACTTCAGCAGACCAGGGCCCTTGCCCAGCCAACCCATGCCCTCCTTCACCTCCAGTGTGACGCTCAACTCTTCAATATGCCTGCTTGACATAGGTGTGAATCACAGCACCATTCCATGCTTCCCCTAAATCGCCCATGATGCCCACTGGTAAAAGTAAGAGTAACCTCCCTGGAGAACTGTCTCAGTCAAACTTCAAACCCTCTCCCAAGACCAGAATTCACATAACTGGAGCTAGATGAACTTCACTGGGATGTTGGCACAGGTCCTAACATGGTTCTTCCTCAGTTTTCAAAACAGGATACTATAAGGGAAAAAAAATTAACACAACAGAAAACCCCTAATAGGACCTGTTTGTCTCTCTCTCAGGACAGGAGATCTTTGGAACCAAAGGGCTCCTGACAGCACGGAGGCCATATCCCTTTGGATTCACCAGCCCAGCAGCAGCATTTCATACCATCTCTATTCGACACAACTATGCTAGGCAATAACACTGGCAGAGTACAGGTAAGAATGGATAGGATGCCTGAAGTTAATCTGCATGGCCAAAGACACAGAAGGATAGGAAGCTCTAGTAGGCAGCAGGTAGGACAGTGAGCAGACAGCAGCAGTGTCAAAGCAGCACAGCGCAAGCCTGTGGTTAGGACCAACTGAGACCAAGAGTATAGAAGGATTAAGTCAGACCTCCTGGGACCCTGCCCCTCAGGACAAGTGCTCAGCACCAAGCTTCCAGATCCCTCCCCTTCTAAGAACACTAGTCTTGATGGCTCTGAAGACTTAGGTTACACCATCCTTTACTAGGTTCCCGTCTCCTAATTCATATAGGAATTCCTATATACATCAGTGTCATCATTCCTCTTCTCTCTGAACTGAGAATGTCCTACCACTAACTAGAGTTGGTTGGCTTTTGGCAACTGCCCATTCCTCTAAAACTGACAGCTTCCCACTAGAATGGCCAATCTTTAAAATCCACTCTCGTGTATATTGCAAACTTAGAAAATTTCTACAGGGAAGAACAGACACTGCACGAGTTGCTCTTACTTTTCAGGCCTGGAAGAAAAGGCTTTAAAAGAAGGAAAAGGCAAACATAAGGCCAAAGCTCAGACCAAAACTTAAAGCACAAAGCTTCTTTTCCTGGAGACCACACTTAATGAAGGACATCTCTGCCACTCAGAAAAATCAAGTATTAATATGTTACATAGGCATGGCACAATATAAGAGGAGCTATTAGAATTGCTTCACCAAGCAAGACACAAGAGGAATCACAGCAGGTCAGGGACCAACTTGCTAAGACCCCCAACAATTTCTCTTGCCAGGACCCTGTGCAAGTTTCCAAGTTGGGAAGTCACAACTAGCCTGAATAGAGAAGGGTGATTTCACTTAAACTACAGGCTTGCTCCCTTAATGAAGAAGCTCAGTTGGTATTTGTGGTGGGCATTTATTGAGTGTCTACTGTGTGCATGTCAATGTATTCAATTGATAAGCCTTCCTATGAGGAAGGACTCTCGTGAGAACCTAATGCATAAAATAATCCCTAGGAATGAGCTGCTCATAAAACAGCCAGAGATGAGGCCTTCTCCCAAGGTGCTCATTTGAAGGAACTCAAGACTCAACCCCACAGACCCCACTGTAGGAAACAAGCCAGAGAAAGCAGCATTCAGAGAACAGGAGACAGAGAAAGGAAAGGACATGATCTCAAATGATCTCAAGTTTGGGGTGTGGTTCTGACATGAACCAAAGACTGAAGTATTTGCAGTCAGGTCAGCAGCTTCCATTGGATGGACCACCAAAAAGCTCACTAACCAGGTAACTGCGCTCAAGGTATGAAACAGTGAAGTGCAGGGCTTGTAGCAAACAAGCCAGTTTCAGTCACTCTGTTCCCCCAGGAGAACAACCTTTAGCACCTGAACATTAAGAATGACTCCATTCTCAGAACTTCCCCTCCCCCCCAGGAGGTAGGTAAAATTATTTATCCCCATTTGGCAGCTGGGGAGGAAGTGAAAGAATGAGAGGTCATAAGACTTGACAGACCATAGCTCAGACCTCAGAAATTTGGGACTCCTGGTTCGATTCCTGGTGACAGGCCAGGCCTTGGCCAATCCAAGTACATCTACAAAAGAAATGCCAGGTTCATACCCTGGGAGAAATCTACTGGACAGATGTATGGACAATACCCTGAGTTGCCTTCAAAAGTCTAAAGAACCCGCCCCCCCCCCCCAACACACACACCAAAACAAACCAAAGGACCACTCACCTACCTGAAAGCTAGTGGGAGAGTCTAAATCCTAATACCCGGTGTAATCCCACAGTCCAAGCTGACAATAAAAATTGGGGAGGCAGTGGGGATTTGAGCTTAAGACCTAGAGAAGCAAATCCAACTAAGCCTGAAGACATTCCTGCAGAGGAATACACCACCATGAAATCAGACCTACTTCAGATACTGAAATGTTACCAAGACTATCCTAGACCCATAGGAGTGGCAGTGGGAGGGGAAAGAGTAGACATGCCCAAATGCCAGGAGAGGGGCAGTAGAGTTCAGATGAGAGGGGGCCATTAAAAATATCAGGAATTGCCCCAACAGGCACCCTGGCCCAGGGCACGGCTCCCTCCTTGTGTCTCCACTAAGCTGCCGGGCAGTAGAAGAAGAGGGGGACATGATTTTAAATTTAAAAATAAATATTAGGTGATGAGAAAACCAGAGACAGCCCCTACAAACCAAAAACTAGAGGCCTTGGTCAGAGCGGACAAAGCCAGTTTTGCAGAAGATGAAAGGCAGTGCAGCTACACAAAGCCCAGGTCAAGACACCATGCAGAGGTCAGGGCAGCAGAAGGGTAAGGGCAGCGCAGGCACTTAGGCACAACATAGACAAGACAACAGAGGGGCATAGGTACCTGGGGTAAAGGGTCCACTGGTTCTTTCAAGTCACCATTACCAACTAGAGACTCAAGGAAATCCCAAAGCAGGCCTGGCACGTTGAGTAGGAGGAGGTTTGTTAGGTCAGCCACCTTTCCAGAAGCTTGACAACCTGGTGGTCAGGTCTCTCCTCAAAGTCCCATGACTGGGTCCTGGGCAAGGCAGTCCTTCTCTCTGAACCCTGGAGGGGCCTCTCTCTCTCTCTCTCCTAGCCCCCAAGCTGCTAGAAGCCTTGTGGGAGGAATGGTGAGGAGAGATGGGAAAGGGCTGAAGCAGAGGATTAAGCAGAGTCCTGTAGATTAAGAGTGCTCCTCCCCCACAAACCCAGCCATAGACATTTGTAACAAAGTCACCCCTTAAAGTGCACATCTCTCACAAGAAGGGCTCTGGGCGGGAACCCTCTTATTTCCAACCATGGGCATCCTGCCCTCCCACAAAAAAAAAAAAAAAACACAAACAAAAAAAAAAGAAAAAGAAAACTTCAGTCTTACTGCTACTATAAGCTGTGGATCATCATTTTTGGCTCTTTCTTTACTCCCTCCCTCTGCCGTCTGCTCCCAAAGCCTGTACTGTTCCTTGCAGGAGCTAGGGATGGGAAGGAAAGAATGAGGAGGCCCTTGTTTTGGAATGTTTCTTATGCTGTATGCGCCCCCTCCTTCCTCGCTCTAGACCTGCTGCTCCTGATCACAGGATTTCCCCCCCGGGCTGTCCTGAAAGGGTGACATGGGGTAATGAGCAACAGATCCTGCCTTGAGAGGCTACCTTTACACCTCCCCTTTCCCTCAAATCTCACTGCCTAGAGACCATTCCCTGCTCAGTCAGCGTGTGCAAATCCTCCACCTGCTCATGGTGAGGCTCACCTGTGGGGCTAAAGCCCCAGTCCTGGTGTAGGAAAGAGATTCATTTTCCCGCATTGGAACGCCCTTCAATAGACAGCTTTACCTCCTGTGGAATGAAAGAGGGACGGAGCAGCGCAGCCCGTGCCTCCTCCCCTTGCATGCTGTATCTTTGGAAGGTGGGGGCTGGCCAGCAGGCCTGAGCACCAGGCTCAGACTGGGAGGACTCTACCACATGGGAGCCTTCTCCTGCGGACTGGCTCTTCCCCTCACTGTCACATAAGTCTCTGGGCCCCAGGACTGTCCTCTCAGGCCTTTCTCGAGGGAGACCCAGCTGGCCTGGGGGAACACAGCTGGCCTGAGAAACTGAGTTACTGTTCAAGCTCTGTAAACTTATAGAGATGCAGACATCTCCCACCTGTAGCCGATGGCAGGGCAGAGAGAAGAGCTGTGCAGTCCGCCCAGGGCTGCAGGAGGACCAACCCTGGCCATATACAAAGAAGGGGTGCTCAGGGGGCACCTCGATGCTCACTTTGCTCTGCTGCTCACCAACAACAAAATGCAGCATGACAAATCCAGGCCACTGGCTCTCTTGAATGTCCACAACTGTGCTAGAGTCAATCTTCAGCCCCCCGCTCACTTCGGCACTGCGCACAAAATCCTGGGTCTGGAGGTCCTCCACTCGCTTCAGCTCCCCTGTAGCCAGCTGGATGATGGCGCCTTTCATGAAATGGGAGGGCAAGTGGGAGGAGGTAATGGGGGGTGGTGTCGGCTCCTTGTCTGGGAAGGTGGCTCTGGCCTGCATGTCTAGACTTGATGCCGCTAGGATCTCTGAGCTCACAGGCAGTAGGCTTGGGTCAGTTCCAGGGGGCACCAGGTTGCCATTGGCTACAACCATTGCTTTGGGTAAAGGTCTGTGTTTCACCGGTTCCTGATAGGGCTGAGGGTAGAACCCACGGGCCTGATTCTTCTCTGCCAGTTCTACAGGGTTCCTGGCTGATCCTCGTCCCTCACCCTGATGGTCAGGGGTATGATGGGATAGGTTGAGAGGGCTGGGTTCATCCTTCCTCTGAGCTGCCACCACGCGATAGTCCTGAGAAGCTAAAGCGCCAACCACCCGCTGGACCTCGAGGTCGGTGTCTGGAGTCCCTCGGTGTGCTGGTGCTGCCACCTCCACCCGTGGAGTCTGAGAACCTGAAAACAACTGTCCATCTACCACACATTCTACCACCGGCACCAGTCCTTGGCTTTCACCCTTGCTGCTGGGGGAGTCAAGGGCTTCACTTTCCCGTCTTACTGAGTTTCGCTCTCGTTGTCTCTGTCCTCCATTGGCAGCAGCTGCTTCTAGAGCAGACTGGCTCTCCTGAGGGGTAAGAATTGGGTTGGCACCTACTGAAGGGGCTTCATGCAATGTATACCCAGCGGGTAGCCTAGACATCTGGTAATAAATGGGCATCCGGCCTGGAGCGAGGTCCAGTGGCTGAGTACTCGAGTGATGAGGCAACTGGCCGGATGGGGAGGTGGCCGAAGGAGCTTTGCTAAATGAATGGGCTGGGGATGAAGCCTGGGGAGGAGGAGTGGCTTCTTCGGCCAGGAGTGAGGCGTATGGCACAAAGTGTGGAAGGTGAGAGGTGGTGAGGTTGGCAGAAGGAGAGAGGAGGGGACCTGGTAGGAAATTGGGTGGCACAGCATAGGGAAGGCTGTAAGGAGACCCAATGAACTGCAGTGAGGTGGATGGGAGCTGAGCATAGTGGATTGGGGGATAGTGGAGTCCTGGATGTTGAATCAGTGAAGACGCTACATTAAACGTGGGGGGCATGGGACTCATGTTCACTACGGATGGGAGGCCAGTTGGTGAGAAGGTGGCAGGTGGCATAGCCACCTTATATAGCATACCATACTGGTCTACTGTCAGACCAGTGATGGCCTCAGCTCCATCACCCCCCAGGCTGACTCTGCCTCCGGCCTGGCTCTGCCCGGCGACCACAACCCCTCGGGACCATTCAGAGGCATCACTGGAGGGTGTGTGGTTTGTGGAGCAGCTGGTAGTTCTCCCCATATCCTCGCTGGTCACGGGGAGGTCTCGTTTCTTTGGTGGAAGGCATTCCTGACTCCTCTCATGAACAGGTTTCATATTGCTTTGTGGTGGTCCTGGAGCCTGGAAATGGTTGGCTTGCTCCTTGGGGCATCAGAAGGAGCTTCTCTGTGGTTTCCCTGCACCCCTTACTGCTGCTGGCTGGGGTGCCCACATCTGCTAGGGAACAAATCAGAAGCAAAGAAAAGTAACCTAGGGAACCAAGTCAAAGGGAATAGCAAGTAAGGACTGCGTCCAGGGAGGAAGAGGTAACAAAGAAACCCAGTGGGAAAAGGAGGCATGAGAGAAAGGCAGACAAGAAGGCTACCTCCTCCTTGGCCTCCACCAAGAAAGAAACAGTCAGAAAAACCACAAAGCAAAAAGCTACATGACTGAGCATTCCAGATGTACAAATAACCTGAGGGCTCCACAACAGTTCAGATGAACAGCTCCCAGCTTAGTTTGCTTCTCATGAGGCCCTTAACTCCTCTGTTTTATCCCTGAAGTGGGGATTTGAACACATGCACATGGTCTCTGCTGCAAGCTTTTTTCCCCTAAGTTTCTCTTTTGGCTACCAAAGAGTAAAGTGCCATCTTCTTTCCCTGAATGTATGACCTCATTCTTGCTTCCTTTCCCCAGACTAATTTGGGTTATGATCTCACCTACTCCCATCCCTCCCACCTCACGATTGGCTAAACTCCTGTCCTTTGATTTCTATCACAAGAAAACTTGCTAAGCCCTGACGTTTGCTTGTCTTTTTTTCTCTTTTAACTTTGCTTCCTAGACACATTATGAAGGATAGTATCTCTCTTGTCCCAAGAAACTATATTCCAATTTAAACAATGAAACTCTTCTAACCTCATATAAACTTCCTGTTCACTTGTCTGGAAAGATTTCTTTGCTTCTTATTGACCACCTTCAACTTGCCTGCTCTCTCTGTTTGTCTCTTTTGCCAATGGCAGCTTTTCCTAGGTCAGTTCTAGACACCATTTAATAAAATCATGATTTATTTCTATCTTAAATCTATATGACTCATAAGAAAACTCTTGCTTTCTCCTATTCTCCTATTGTCATCTTTCAAAATTTTTTTCTTTCCTTTTCTTTTTTTCCCCCCCCAGTAGTGGGGTTTGAACTTAGGTCTTCATGCTGGCTAGACAAATCCTCTACCTCCTAAGCTATGCCTCCATCCTTTTGGAGATAATTTCTGAGATAAGATCTTGCTTTCTGCATGGGCCAGGCTGGACCACACACCACCAACAATCATGCTCAGCTTTTTCTGTTGACATGGGGGGTCTCAAACTTTTTTGACTGGGCTGGGGCTGGAACTGCAATCCTTCCAATCTCTTACTTCCATAGTAGTTGCAATTATAGGCCTAAGCCACTACAACCTGGCTCACAATGCTTTTATGTACTGTCAAAAAAGTTACGTTTTTCATCTGAACATTTCCAAGTATATAAACTTTGCCACTTATTTCTTTCAATCAGGTTCTAGTTCTTTGGACCTGAGAAGAGTTTTCTATATTACATTGCTTCCCAATATCACATCCCAGATATTTTTCTACAACAAGGAATCCTAACTGTCTGTATTACCTGAGCTTCTGACGGTGCTTCTGAGCAGCTGTAGTAAGTGTCCTCCCAGCTGACTTGGGAGCCTAAAAGACAGAAATAGGAATGGAGTAAGACTGACCTCTAGATCATTACAAGAGGCAATTCAAAGCCACACAAAACACTGAGTCCACAAGGAAGTCTTGCCTCATCTTCTTCAGACTTAATACCACATTTATGCAGAGTGCCTAGGCAGTGGAAAAGAAAACAAAAATAACCTCTAATATGTAGGAAGACATCCCTAGAAAAAAGTTTCTATGTATCAACTTTTCTTCATTCCCTACCCTACTCCCAAAGCTGTATTTCTAATCCAGATTTCAGTTAAGTGTACAAATAAAAGACTTTTAACACTATTCCCAAGTTAACAATTGGGAGTAGGTAATTTCACCTTTATTCAGGGTCTATGAATACACTGATGTGAAGGTTATTTAAATAAGAAAGGTGGCACTAGAGGAAAAAGAATTATGTTTCTGGGGCATAAAAAGAGGTCATGGGGGAGTCACTCAAGGGGGAAGCCTTCTTAATCGTTTTCAGAGTTAAAAAAAAAAGGTGTGTATGTGTAAATTTTTTTCTGAGTGATAACTCAGTACATGTAGTACTAAGTCAGGTATGACAGAAACTGAAAACATCATTTTGGGCCCTCATACAGCTAGCGACAGAAAAAATACAACTGTCATTAAGCTATCAATATATCTGAATCTACACTTAACCAGAAATGTCAAGCACTAAAGAATGAAGCTATGCCAAGCACTAGTGGCTCATGCCTATAATCCTAGCTACTCAGGAAGCTGAGATCTGAGAATTGCCGTTCGAAGCCAGCCCAGGCAGAAAAGTTCCTGAGACTCTTATCTCCAACTGACCACCTCTTATTTCCAACTGACCACCAAAAAGGCTGGAAGTGGAGTTGTGGCTCAAGTGGCAGTGCACGAGCCTTGAGTGAAAAATCTAAGGGACAGCATCCAGGCCCTGAGTTCAAGCCCCTGCACCGGCACAAAAAGGGAGGAATAAAAAGCAGTGGTTTATGAGTATGCTGAGTAACTACTGTTCTGCCAAAGTCCCACAGAACTCTCACTAAAAACCGCAATCCAAACGGAAGGCACTATTTACTTCAACATTTGACGTGTGAAGGCAAACGCATAGGGGGAAAAGACAGGACAACCAGGTGGAGAATCAAATTCCTAATCCCACGAACCAATCACACAGAGGGCACAAGTCATCCACCCGTTCTCCGCCGGCAGTTTCAATTAAGTGAAAATCATCTAGCCTTCTTCATTCCCACCAAGAGATTGAGGTCACAGCTTCACTCCCAGAATGACCCTTGCTCTCTCTGCGGCTAAAATGTTGAAGCAAACCTGCCCCAGTGTCGCTGAGGGGGGGGTAGAAGACACAAGCTAAAAGGACTGAACGGGGGGGGGGGGGGGGAGAGGAGGGAGGCTTGCCGGAAGAACGGCGGGGCGAAGCCTGGGCGCCAGGTGTCCACCAGGCAAAACACATTTCGGAATCTGAAACCTCGGCCTCCGGAGGGGCTTAAAGAGAAATCAAGTGGCAGACACGGCTCGGGAACTTCACTGCGCTGCAGGGCCAGGAGAACCATTTCCGAAGCACTGCCAACAAGACCCGAGAGCTAGCTTCGCCTCACCACGCTGGGGTCGGAATCGAGAGGTTAGAGAAGCCCCGCGGGGGACCCCCCGATTCTCCATGGGGAGGAGTGCACCCGACAGAAAGGGAGAAGCTGGGAGGGAGCCAGCGTTCCCGCAGTCTTCGCTCCATCAAAGAAAGGGAAGCACGGAAATGGTTAAGCCTGCCGTGAGAGTCGGGGGTCGGCCTGCGAGCCGCCGGGCAGAGCGAGGCCCCGCTGCCGACGCTTCCTTGTTTGGGGTCCCCTTCCCGCGCCGAGGACTCCGGCTTTCCGCCCGGCGGGGACACAAGCGGGGGGCAGCGGTGCCTGGAGCCGCCCTCCGGGCCAGGCGGGAGCGAAGCGTGCCGGGGGTCGGGGCGCGGTCTCCTCCGCTCCCTCCGTCCGCGGTTTTCGGGCCCAGTGCGGTGGGGCAACGGGCTCCGAGGGGCCACTTCCTCCGGAGCTCCGAACCCAGACCTGTTTTCCCTCGGCCAGGCCGGCCCCGCGGCCACCACTCCCGGCGACACTCACCGGCCCATCTCACAGCGCTCCCCGGGCTCCTCCCGCTCGTCCGGGAGCCGCCGCGACCG